CCCCAAAACCCCAAAACCCCAAAACCCCAAAACCCCAAATTCCATTTTATAAATTGATAACTAATTTTTCACTATTTAAGAAATTTTTGAATAAATTTTAGTTCAAGTTTATAGCTAATTCCTTTAAATTTCCTTATCTTGACTATTTAGCACCTCTGACTTTGCTATAGATGGTCAATTTAGAAGAGACACTCTAAGAAGAGATATTCAGGCGTAAAGCCAGAGCAATCCACATGAAAAAGTTTAAAGAGACCTGACATAGAAGTATGACTCGGAGGAACAAAAATAATTCTAATTCCTTCTTGTTTAATGATTTTCAAAAGAAGAGAAAGAAGTTTATGCAGAAAGAGAAATTTGATGACTTGAACAAATCAAATAGAATTCTTTTACAAGGACTTATCGCTATTATCAACAGGAAGAAATAAAAATTATGATGGAAGCAACTGATTTAATAAGCCACAGGAAATGCAAAAGTTGGTAAGCCAAATCGATAGAAATTTGGTCTTATCTCTGTCTAGATAATATCCTCTGTAAGAAGGCAGAGATGCAGTCCAGTAGGCAATAGTTATAATTCCAAAGTACCTAGTTTAAAAGTTCAGAACTTAATTGAAAATAGTGCTCTTAGCAAGCCCAATAACTCAAATCTTAAAATTTTAGAGAAATAAAAGATCAAAATCTAGGGATAGATCAGCGCAGAGGTATTTTAGAGACCAAGTAATTGCCTCGAAGTTCACATGAAGATACAACCAGCTTCGAAGAATAGAAGTAGAAAATGCTAAATTTGCTCAAAGACTTTACGATAATAAGCCTTCAATTTCTAAAAAGAAGCTTGAAGATAGCTTCCAGACTCACTCGAAGTTAAAGAAGAGAATGAGTAAATTCTCTCAGAACAGGGCGAGAAAGTCTATTGCAATGGAAATAGCTAATCGAAAATTAGGGACAAGCAACCAAGTCAAAAGATCCCTCGTACCAGGTTCCAATTCAGTCCCACGTATGAGGCCAAAGACAAGGCAAATCTCAACGACAGAAGGAAATGGAAAGAACCTTGACTTGTAGTGCTATAAGAGTAATTTCAATCAGTTTTACGAAAAATGGGGTTTTGGGGTTTTGGGGTTTTGGGGTTTTGGGG